TTTTTACCGAAAATAATAACAACGATAAAAAAACTGATGATCAGAGTAAATGGTTTTTTTTGGTCAAAAGGAAAATTTGATGATCATGGAAGGTGTAATCTATGTTCCTTATGTTCCAGGGATCAAATGAGTACCTATTGTAACATGATTTTTTTTTTGTGAAAAATGTACTTGGTGGTATGCGCCATGCGGCTGTACAGAGTATTATAAGTTATTATATGTACGTACGTACGTATATCTGCTGTGAGTGAAAGCTGATCTTTAATCTAACTCAGCGTGTACGTACTATGTAGGTATATTCGTGCGTAGAATGAGAGGTGTTATATGTATAATGGCGATATTTGATATGTTCCACAAGTAGAATTGAATTATAAATTATCTTGGAAAAGTCGCGTTACACTAAAACAGTGTACTGCTTATTGCTTATTGCAAATATATAACCGGATGTGCGTCTCTCTTTTTTTTTTTTCTTTCTTTTTTTTTTTTTTCTTTTCTCTTTCTTCTTGCTTTTGTAAGCTTGAATAACCTATTTTCTAGTTGGAAAGTTGTTTAATCGCATTCAAAATCACAATTTTATCGCTGACGCATAGACAAAGACATTTCATTGACAGCATAGAACACTATAGTAAAATAATTAGAGGAAAGAAAAAAAAAAAAAGCAAAAAACTTTTTTCACCGTGAAAATTGCTGGGCGTAAGTTATTGCTTACTTGGTTTACACAAGAGGACACTAGAATTAGAGTTAAATAAAAATTCCCGCAGAAAATTCCCCAATATCACGATGTTGCGTCGTGTCAATTAATTATTCTCAACCTCACACCCTGAAGTTACCGAAGAAAAGAAAAACATTTAAGATACCTTGTGTTTATTCGAAGAACACAGGGGAAGCGAAAAAAGAAAATAGAGAACTAGAATTTTTTTACACGTCCCCATTTAATTTAATCATTACCCGATGCAAAACAGAGGAACATTCATAAAACTGATGCATAAACGAGCGAGAAGCCCCGTAATGACCAGGGTGCACTATTCCCGCTACATGTTCTTCTCCGGAATAGTGATAATAATAATGTTCTCCTTCTTCCTATCGCTGATCGACATGTCGGTTTTCCA